GATAGCGCATGGATGGAACCCGTCGAACTCAAAGCGGCCAGTCCATAAAGCGAGAAAATGGGGATAAATCTACATGACAGAGAGAAAATGCACTATAAAAATATGAAAAATAAGCACTCTAAGCACTCACCGAAGTCCTCAGTCTGGTACAGCCATGCGGCGCTGAAACGGCATGCTCTCGACGTCACGGGCGAAACCTGGCGCCATCTCACTCGCGTAAGCTAGAAATCTAGCCTAGCATGGTAACAGCTCTCAAGCGGGAGCGTAAAGGATCAAAAGTGCGGACATATCAGGAAAAGGGGAGCGGTGAGGATGCGGTTGGGCGGCACCAGCACACTCTCATTCATACCATCATAACTAAAGCAGGAAAATAGTCGTCTACTACTAAACAAGCAAGCTTGTTTTACCAAGAGCGATGAAAGAAACGGTGATGAGAGCGGTGAGAATAGCGGCAAGAGCAGCAATTTCCAAAAAAAGGCAGCAAGGCAGCAGCAGGAGAGAAAATCACAGAAGCGCGGCGACGTTCTCGGCGTAAGTAGGGGAAAATCTCCAATCAGCTCTGATTGGCCGATCAGCCGCCTCGGGGCTCTCTCCTCCTGCCGTCCTGCAAGCCCGACTTGTAGCGACAAATATAGCGAAAAAATACGATGAAAATCGGCGCCAACATTCTCACCGCTTTTCATTCCTCCATATCACGCTGCCGGCGCTGGCTGCGATAAAGCCCTGTCCTGTGATAAATAGAGCCTTTGCGCTTTTAGGTTCTTTTTTCAAAAAAAAGAGAGCCGATTACTTGTCTCCGCTCGGTTCTATGCTTCTTTTTAATTAAGCTAATTAAAGAATTCACACGATCAAACGACTCCCGATGCTCAACGCCAAGTTGTCCGACTCCCTTTTCCTAACGGTCACGTATTGTTTACGACTACGGTTATTTTTTTACTCCTGTAAAAAATTATCGAGATTTGACTAGCGTTGACGACGCTAGTCAAATAGCGTGTTGAACTGACAAGCTGGTACATTTTTTAATGTATGATACACTGGAAAAAAAACACATTGGATCTTGAGTCCAGACTCTTAAAAAAACTGACAAGAAAAAATACTCTTGATTCAATCGGATTTTTGCTTAAATCAAAACTAAATCCGCTTAAATTCAGAGGCTTGGTTCTTGATTTAAGCTAGATTCTGATTGAATCAAAAGAACTTTTTCTTGTCAATGTTTTTAAGAGTCTGGACTCTAGATCCAATGTGTTTTTTTCCAGTGTACAGGTGAGATTATAAATAATCGATGCAAATGCAAGAAAAGGGTCAACGGTTCTCTCAGATTTTTAAGTTTAAATAATCACTAAAGTTAAGAATTCATTACGTCCGTAATATTATCGCTTCCAATTTTTATGAGTGGTCCCCTTCCCCCTTAAAAAAAAAGCAAAAAAATCCCTGGTACGATGGAAGTCTCACCAACACACCAATTTTTATACATGCGGGCGCTTGAAATCTCTCTACACATGGTTTACTTTCTTTTTCAACATGGTTTTTGATGAAGGCATCATACCATATTTTGAGCCAATTTAACTTCAACGCTTCTGAAAACTCAAGTAAGAGAGACACCTCAACGCGCCTTGACGACGGCGCAGGGATACAACTATTTGTGCTTGATGGATATCCGTATTGCATCTACGAAATTGAAGGCGCGATGACACGAGGCATGAACTGAGGGTTGAACCCGCTGTGAACCGGCCCCATAACTCTTTCAGAGGCGACAGTCGGGTCAATTTGATTCGGCTATGGCTTTCTAGGGTCGGTTGTCGCACGAAATTCCCCGACCCTCGATTTTTTCTTCTTTTGATGTTTCATATATCAAGCTAACAAGTGCCATTATGAATCTGTTTCAGTTACGGTGTCCGGTTGTTCGTGTTTGTTTGGTACTCGCTGTGGCGACAAAACACGCCCGAAACACTGTGGTGCATCCAACAGTTGTTCATGGTGCTGTACTACACGAATTTTAGTGTCAACTTCCTCCTGTACTCAATGTGTGGGATCACATTTAGACGCTGTCTATGGCAGATGATTCGAAATCTTTGTAAGAAGCTATCAAGACTCCATTACTCTGAGTAAGTGATGTTCAGTTCCATACAATTTAGTCAACGTTTTTGATTTGTCGTCGACCAAATCAACCATGAATCTGCGAGGAGGTGTTGACGGAGACGGTTCCGGGAATTTTCGCGCGCCGCATGCTCAAATGAACCTCGATGTACATTTTAGAAAATGATTCGCAGGAGATTATTAGATGGAGTTCAGAGGAACGGTCACATCTGCAATGCAGTGTTTCAAAATCGCACCTGTTCCATCAAACATCCCTGTCGAAAATTGTTTCAGTATTTCTGGCGCAAACGAAGGTTCATGCACAAAATTTCAAGCTAAACTGTTGGATGGTCTAAGAACGTGGAATACTTAAAAATTGCCATCGAAATGCGACTGGTTTTACTTCCTTCTATTTAAGTGTATATGTAGAGAAGAAGTTTTAATGACATAACGTTTACCAGTTTTGTTGAAACCAGTGGAAACCATTGGTTTTGTTAAGCTGGTTGTTACGTTGAAATTGGCAGAATGAGGTGAAAATTTGAATACGCAGCTTTCTCTTTCAATTACATATTTTGAATTGTAAATTTTAGACCATCACAACTGCTGTTTGGTTCTACACTTCAGCGTATTTTTGGTTGCCAAATGTTTGCAGAACATTTACCTATGCAGTGGTACCAATATCCCATTTTTCAGTTTTGTGGTGCATATTTAGGTCTGTACACGCACACATGTATAAATGCGGTAAGTATTTCTGCCACGGCTGTTTTGAGCTCTCTGAAGCCAGTGTTGACAGTCAGCCACAGGGCTTTTGGCCTCCAGAAAATCGCTCCGCGTTTTTCCCGCAACTCGCTCTGTAAGCCGCTCCACGCTGACTAAAAACTATAAAGATTGAACGATGAAAAGGCTGTAATGTTACAGGAAGAGGTTTCAAAGTTAATCCATTTATAAAGTACATACCTCTTATCACAGTCCTCCTAATTATCCATGAGTTGACTTGCATCTGTCGACTGACCACCGAACGAACTGTCAGTTGTGCTGATGGTTCCCTGTTTAGTACAGCGTGAATAGAATTGCAAATAAAATTTGCATACTTCAACAGAAAATGGTGATTTTTTTCTAAAATTTGTAGGTATGTGCGAGTTATTCTCATTAGTTAATGGAATATAATGAAACTCCTGGCAAATACGTATCCACATTTTGAGGGGGAACCTTTCCTGAAATGAATAAATTGATTTTTCAAGAAAAGTTCAGACAAAAGTAAAATAGTTTGCCTTAAAAGTTGATATTCCTGGCTTCCACCTCGAGCTTCTAAAGCTGGTTGTTAGACGTTATCAGCGTCGCGAAAAGGGCGAAAATTGCCCCTTCGGATTTTTGCTGATGAATTTGCCCATAACGTAAATAATTTCTTACGGCAGTTTCGAACAAAGGCTGTTCGTTTTTCGAGTTGGTTGTTGTATTGTAAACTTTCACAAAATTCTGCAATACAGACCAAACCATTTCATATTCGGTCGAACTCATAATGCAATTCCAGATCTTTCACTTGCGAGTTTAAAACACACAAAACGCGGAAGATGTGTGTTTACGTGCTTTTGGAGCTTGCTCTGGGTGCATACACGGCTACTCGGTCGAACTCAGGAAGCAATTCGAGATCTTTCACTTGTGAATTTAAAAAACACAAAACGCAGAAGATGTGTGTTTACGTGCTTTTGCAGATCCCTATGGGTGGAAACACGGCTATCCGTTCGAACGTATCATGCGAATCGAGATCTTTCACTTCTGAATTTAAAACACACAAAGCGCGGAACATGTGCGCTTACGTGCTTTTGCAGATCCCTATGGGTGGAAACACGGCTTTACTTTCGAACGCATCATGCGAATCGAGATCTTTCACTTGTGAGTTTAAAACTCACTTAGCGCGGAAGATGTGCGTTTACGTACGATTGGAGCTTCCTCTGGGTGCAAGTACGGCTAATTGGGTTGTAGTGTAAATGGTACGGCGGTAAACGAACAACTCTGAACCCCAATTCAGCTGCCCTATTTTTATAAAAGTAATTGGAAATCGGAGGTTTAAGCCTACGCACCAATTCAAGAAGTTCATGTTTTTTCATTTTTGCTGAGTTCGGAATACGCTTATTCAGCAACCTTTGGAGAATATCTGCCTTCAAAGATCCTGTGGTTGGAGTTTTGTCGACGATTCGCGAATGATACGGCGCGTTATCACACTTTCAGGAGGCAATCTTGGCAAGAAACTTTCTAAAAGCCAATTTTCAAACCTGGGGCTAGCCAATTCCTCGTGATAGTCTTTTGCGGACTTCAACGGGAAAATGAGAGGTGAAGTTCCAATCCATCCATGAACTCCGCCGGTATCGCGAATTATCAGTCTGCCTCCTTTTCTAGTCGGAGTATTGAGATTCTCTTGAACTGTACCGTCAGTTAAACCACGATCCGGACGCGTATTTTTGTTTACCAACGTTTCATCAAGACAAATCAAATCATCCCAGTTTACGCTTTATCGGAAAAACATACACCTTTTCACGCAATGTCCGGTTTCCCATTTTGTATCGAAAACCCAATCGCTTTAAAAGCACACGAAGCTATGTATTTTTCCCCGAAAAGAGTTTAGACCTCTTTAAATTTCCCAATAATTTTTCTTGAATTGGAATCACCTTTTGTTGATAGCACACTGGAACAAAGAAACACATTGGATCCAGAGTGTAGACTCTTGAAAACATCGACAAGATACAGCACTCTTGATTCAATCAGACTTAAGCTTAAATCTAAAGGAAATTCCGCTCAAATTAAGAGGCTTGGTTCTTGATTTAAGCTTAAATCTGATTGAATCAAGAGTATTTTTCTTGTCGATGTTTTTAAGAGTCTGGTTTCCAGAACCAATGTGTTTTTTTTCACCCAGTGTACGCGTAAACATGTCGACGAATAGCATCAGCATCAAAACCATTGCTTGGAGCTCCATGATAGCCTGAAACTGTTGAACCAATCAGAGAGCGGCACAGAGATAGCAATACTCTCCCGCACATGTACACTGTTCAGGTACCCTACTGCACCCATGATGCTTCCTCTCGTCACAGCCCAACTCGAATCCTGCCGCGCGTAGGAACTCAACTCATCCGTTCCTGGTATTATCGTCGTTCCTCTAGCATAAGGGCGTATCTATATTTCAACTTGAACCTCGCAAAGCATCGAGTTATACGGAGAACAGGGCTCACGTTGAAATCGAGATACGCCCTTACGTTAGATGGCCGACGTTATGTGCGAATTGCGGCTCGTTGCGGAGAATCGGAAGCCCCGGAATGCCGCCAGGCGGAATTGGTTGCGTTCAGCGATGAATCAGTTTCGTACTTAGCATTTTGCCCGTGTCGCGTCAACGCGGGCGGCTCCGATCGATTAACAACTCGTCACCCCGGGTTAGTTGTGCGGTTGAACGCCTTCCATTCAAGTTCCGCGACAGCGGCTCTGTAATTACGGAGGTGTGTGAAGTACATTGTGAATACATGCGACACTGCGTGAGTCACTGACCTTCCTAAATCAAACAGTATGAGCATAATATTCTCCAAAAGCGAATATGAAAAATCTATGGTTTTATCCCCTTGATTTTTCCTATTTTTAGAATTAACTGCTAAATAGCGTTCTTCTCTGGTACAGCAGAATTTCCGTAACACTTTTTTGACATCCTGGTCTGATGGGAAAGGGAGTAGTGCAGTGTGGAGCGGCGCGGCGCAGTATGGTCCCTCAGCCCGATTTAAGTGGCAATAAATCAGATGTGTACGTTTGTTTAAACCTTGCAACATAAATAAGAAGGGATTTTTTGGGTCGCTGATTTCAAATACTTACCACTTCATGAAATAAAAACTGTTTTACCCATGCATCTCAAATTTTCAGGTTAAGCTTCTAATTATATTCTCGAAAGAATTCTGTAAAAACATTGCATAATTTATCTGCTGTAATACATTGTTTCGAAAAAATGTAAAATGGCGTTTACGGCGATTTGCGCTGCACGGCAGAATAGGAGGACGTGATATCAACGCGAAAATGCCCGTTTTCATGAAAAATAACTGGAAGTTGATAATTTGAGGTGACGGCGGATGACGGAAATCTGCCATTCAGACTGGAAGGTAGTCTAGAGTTATGTCAATGGCTTTTGAGCAAAATTCGTAGATGTAAAGAGGTGCAAGGTATATTTTTGTAGTCCTACTTCTGCGACTTTATTATGAAACTGATTATGTCTAAGGGTTAGTCCAGAGCAATAGATGTGATAGAAAAGAATAGTTGAGCACGTAAAATCTTCAACACACCCAACATTTTGTGGGTCAGGTGCCCAAACATTTCAGGTACAGCGAAACAACAAAAACAAACCCCTCAACATAGCATGGTCGCTCGGCAACTGAGATCGTTACCATCCGGTCAAAGTATCACTTGCGACGTTTCAAAATTTACGCCGCTTTTTTATTTTTTTACAGAGAAATTGTTCAACACGAAGCTGTTCGAAAATTTCACTGTATTTTCTTCGTGCTGCCGATAAAATTCAGTGAAGTTTTTAAACAGATTCAACCAACAATTTCTCTGTCAAAAAATAAAATGGCGGAAGAAATTTTGGAACGTCGCATGGTGCTTGTGACATTCTGGTCGGGACGCGACGAGATCGAATGCAAACGTGTCCCGCACGCCGCACACTGAAAAAAAAATCTCGGTGTATTTACTAAGAAAAGGGTAAAATTACCAAGAATTCAGGGTTCTATTTGATTCCAGTTTTTTCTTGGTAAAATTACCATTTATGGAATTGGTAATTTTACCAAGAAATCTCGGTAAAATTATTGAACTTTCTCGTTAATATTACTAGACCTTGGTAAAAACGCCAATATTTTTTATCGACTGTGGTAGAATTACCGAGATAAAATGGCAAAGTTGCCGGGAATTGATTACCAATAAAAGTGGTATTCTTACCTGAAAAAATCAGTAAAAATACCGGTTTTTATAGGTAAGCTTACCAGTCTCTCTTGATAAAATTACCAAT